CATGCGGTCCCTTCCCTCTCTGATTTTGTTTGAGTTTCAGAGCACATGACAGGAGAGTCGGTGCACTGGTTGTTCTGCCAAAAATATATTTTGGTGGCAACATCTTTAGGTTCAAAGATGCCTAAAAGAAAGAGAGGAACCAAAGCGGAACCATTGTGTTCAGCTTGTGGAAAGCATGGCCACTATGCCTCTTTGTGCGTGCTGCTGGCTAAAGCAGTTTTGAGCCAGATCACGAAAACCACAAGTGTAGCAACTTTGCAGAAGCTGCTCCAGAATGAAACACCTTTGAATTTGCAAGAAGGGGGGAAGAAACAAAGATGTGGCAAAACAAAAGGTCGAAGAGGAAAGCGAGTGACTGCTTCTCAAAAAAAACCGAAAAGAACATATGTGGCAGACAGATGTGTGGCAGAAAGGAAACGAACTCCAAGGCCGAGAAAAGGACCATTGATGGACAGCCTTGTAAGCATGAAGCCTACGCTGTCTGCACTTCGTCACTTGCGAACAACTGGCTGGGCCTGGAAGCCTCGCTGTGGTTGTGGAAGCAAGGTTTCTCGGTGCTCCTGGAAAACCTGCTGCTCGAGAGGCCGTGGTCGGATTTTTTTCCGATGTGTATCTTGCAAGAAGTGGTACGATGCGATGGTCTGGTCTCATCTCCCCAGCACTCGGCTACCTCTGGCTCTGCTGTGGAAAGCGCTTCAACTGTGGTATCAGCCTGGGAACCCTCCCACGCTCTCACAGGTGGCCCATCATTTGGGAGTCTCTGGTGCAGTTGGAGGCAGTCTCGATGTTGTCCTCCGCCGCCTCCGCCACCTTGAAGCGCAGCTGAGTGAAGAATGGCAGCAGCAGAACTCATTGTCTGGTGATTTGGAAGCGGATGGCACGACCTTGCGCAAATGGAAGGTTCGTTGCCGCGGAGAACATGTTCTGCGCTGGGCGCAGCTCTTCGGCGTCTTTGAACGGCCAACTGCGGCCTTTCCTCGCGGACGGTGCCATGTCCACTTCCTGAAGTTGACAGACACCAAGCCTCATTCGAAGCCACCGGTCGAAAGCATGGACCGAGTCAATGCTTGCAAGGCGTTTGATCTGTTGAGCAATTGCAAAGATGGACAGCAGAGCACGTTGATCACTGATGGCGCTCGACTGTTTCCAAAGCTCGCCCGGCAGCATGGCTTCAAAAATTATCAGTGCAGCCACGCGACCGGACTTTTTGCATTCAAAGTGCGCCGTGGGTCCAGACGTTCCTTGCACGTGCACGCGGGCTACGTGGACTCGATGTGGCGCCTGCTGAAAGCAGCTGTACCTCATCGCGTGTCTTCACGCGACCGCCAAGGCCAGGTCTAAAAGTACATGTGTATAACAACGGCATGCGTTTGGCACAAACACCCAGTCACACACACAGTCCGGCCCGATGAACTTGAAAAAACAGACATGTTGCTAACATGCAATGTGGTCCCTGTGCGTGCAGGAGCTTTGAGCGATTGGCTCCGCTGCTACGTGCGTATGTGGCATTGGCGTTGGACACAAGGTTCCGACTTGCTGAAGAAGACCGGCGCCGCTTTGCGCCGTCGCTGAAGTACTCGGCAAAGGCATCTGTCAAAAAGATGTGCGTTCGGAGCCTCACTGTGGAGAGCTACTGACATAAAAAACCATCAACTTCAGGTGTCGCGAAACGGCCGTTTTTTTACGCGAAACGCATGCAAAAAACACTGCGTTTACCAATGATTTTGACATGAGAACATGCAAAACAGGGTACGGTTTCCAATCCGTACGGTAGTTTATGTATCTTGACTTACCTTGCGCTAAGGCTCCCTGGTCCGCTGCGGACTACTCTGCTCTCCGGCCGGGAGAATGAGACAAACCCTTGCTAGGCAAAGCCACAGGGGACACTCGTCGGGTACACCCATGAAGCCAGAATACGGAGTTCATTTGCGGTTTGCCACCCGCCAGCCTAAGTAAAAAACCTAAGAAGCCAGGACGAGGGGGAAGTAAGGTGGTCTGAACAACTTCAAAACCTCAAAAGCCGCCAAATCCAGCGTCGAGAATTACAAGGAAAGCAAAAAAATGCGTGTTTGCAGAGCTCAAAGCCGATGCAATGGGCATAAGTCGTCCAACACTGCAGCCAAGGACGCCCTAAACAATCCATCCAGGTTTCCAGGTCCCAATGTTTTGGGTGGTGAACAGCTATATTTTCCTACAAAACAGTATTACCATCTATAGACACATATACTATATAATATGGTTTTGGGTGCCCCTCATATTTGTTGCTAATTGTCCCTAATTTTTGTTCCTTGAGCCCAGCACATTGAGCAGCTGGTGCAACTCAGGTTTTCTCCTTTGCTCTCCTTGGAGAGCATGAAGTAGGATGACCCGCCTTTCTACATGGCGTGTCTTGGGGGATACCGCACGCGCTGTGACCCTCTTGATCGTCTGCGGACAGGCCGTAATGTTGGTGCGTGGGTTTCGGCCCGGCCAAATACTGCAGCAGTGGCGCAGGGCTCGGGGGCCTCGTCCTCGGAGATGATCCCTTTCGAGCATTGCTGACAGGGATCAGACTGAGATGCCTGTCGCAGAAGTGGAAACTGGTTGTTCCCACGTGGAACCGGAGTGGAGTGGGTAAACAGGGGTGGATGTGCGAATCCAAATGGTGTTGTAGATCGAATGCTCCCAGGTGGTCCGGTGGTGCCTTGGCAAACTATAGGAGCTAAGCTGAACTTGAACGAACCCGTGGGATGCCTGTCCACTGAAGATCGAAGGCCGTGCACGAGGAGTTCGATGCAGCGCGAGAAGTTCCATACAGCTTTGCCCAAACCAGATTTATTGATGAGATTTTTTGGTCAAAGATTGTTTGATATTATTTGCCAATCAACACCGACTCTCCCAAGAATGCTCCTCAAATAGAAATAGGAACAAGTTGCAAACGAGAAACATGCTCTAGTATATGGCACTGCAGGGTGTAGGACCTACATTGTAGAACCCGTGTTTTTCATGGGAACTCAAGTACTGGGGGAAACTGGGGGAAACTGAAGACGTGCAACGGACTGAAGAAACTGAGGAGGGGGTTGGCACCAGGGCTTTCGTCACGCTTTGTGAGAAAAGCAGGCACATGACAGCCCAGCTTGAGCCACGCAACACAAGAAACACTGCTTCGGTGGGCGGATTCCTGTGAAACGGATTCCTCTAGAGTCTCTAGAGACCCGCCCGCCGAATGTGAACCATGAAAAGAGCTTGGCAGATCATTCTTTGCCTACTTGGATGGCTCACCAGCAACTCACAAGTTTCCTGAATCTATTATGTAGCATGATGTAGCTATAAGGGGTAGTTGAGAGTTTGACAGACATTGATCGAACACTTGGCATGGACTGCATGGACTCTCGAACTTCTTCATGGTTCTCAAACCCTCCATGGGACTGGAGGGTCAATGTGCATATACTATACATGGATGGTTTGGGGGTGTTCGTTGGGTTCCAAGTAGTATATGGATGGATGATGATGATGGATGAGTCTTGGAGGTTTGACAGGCTCTTCGGATGGTGGAACTGGATCTCCCAGAAGATCCAGTTCCTTCAGGCTGGCAAACTTGTGAAAAAAACCATGCGTGGCCCAAAGCCAGTTGGCAGCTTCAAATCACGTTGACTCTCCACCACGGTGTGTGTCGAATTCCGAGACCGGCCACGGACGCGATTTTTATTAGCGCATCATAGCGCTAATACATCGATCGTCTACATCGATCGGCTTGGAATCCGGGCTCGAGCTCGGCCCTTTGCGTCTCAGAAACGCCCAAGCTTGGTCGTGTTTCAAGGTATTTTCGAACTCACCCAGACCATGCTTGTATACATTCGTGTATGATCGTGTATGGAATATGATATATTATACTCACAATTGCATACATTATACCCCTGAAACCTCACCAATGTATACGTAAACAGGCCAGTCCCATGGATGGTTGGGTCATGCTAGCTGGATTCACTCTCATGGACACTGTATTTGTTTGCGGGTCTGTATTTGTTTGAAAGGGTCAACATGGCCAGGCAGGCTTTGCCAATCCCTGAACGGAACAGAAGCACGACCGCCACATCATGTCTTCCGGCCGGCGATTCACCGCCACCGAACGCAGCGCCGTGGAACAACCTGTTCTCGCTGCCGTGAAATGCCGTTAAAGACCGAACGCTGCCGTCAGAACCAAGCACCAGAGTCGAGCAAATATGTGTCTGGAAGGACGCCGACCGACTTCGTTTCCAGGAGTTGGTTTTGAGGTACAGAGACAGCCTCGCTTCGTTTCGGCTGCGTTCCTACTCGGTACTGGGAGGATGAATCCGGTGCGAATGTGACGAACATCGCGGAGCTTGACCACTGGTGAAACGTGGATCGATAGGTGAATCATGGTGAATCCGGTCGGCAAGCATTGGAGCTTGACCACTTTTTGGGCCTCCATCGTCGCCTGGTGTAATTCACCATCATGTGGTGCAGTGTTCCATATAAATCTTAGAGTCTTGATTAATAGACTCGACCCCCCCACTTGAATTGAACAAATCCTCTTCTACATATCCCAGACACTCCATGGGACTGACATATCTACATACCTTGGGGTGGTTGAAAAGGGGTCAATGGGGCGGTACATATTCCAGTCCCATGGAGCATCTGGGTGTTTCAGTCTGCTCCCACACTCCAGACCGGTGTCGGGAGTGAGCCCCAAGCCCTGGTGGTGTTTTTGTGCTATGCAACCTCTGCTTGGGTAAGATTGAAGGTGATAAGAAATCAACTTGTTAAACATATAATCTATATATATATATATATAGAGAGTGACACTTGTATCATTGTATGTTTGTTTTGCATTTCTATGCATCGTTTGTTTGGGATTGTTTGGGTATTTTTTTGGGTGAAAAAGAACGTCAACTTATAGTTAAACATTAAGACTGACACATATTTGATGTTTCACATGTTTATGCTTGGACATCTAAAACACAGCTTCTGGACAAACCGCACTCTCTCATCTCTCCTAGGCTACGACTTCCCTTTGGCACATCAAGAGTGCGTGGGATGGGCCAAGGCAGGAGTCTGGGGTGAAGGACGTGGCACCTGGAAGAGGAGGAACATTTTTGGGGTCAGCAGTTTCAAGCCTGTTGATCTCTATTTTCTTCCTAGGGCTGCGGACACCTCCGTCTCACGTCTTACGGTAAGGTGGCTGTGTGGGTGCCTCAGGGGTCTAGTTGGAGCTGTAGGGGTATTCATCGCACAGTGAGAGGATTGGTGAATGGAGAGGACTAAGTAGCTGCTTTATCCCATTGGCCGAGGACCTGTTGGATCTGTGTTCGCTTGGGCCAACTGTGGGGAATTGCAGTGGTTTGTTTCCTCATCGTTGTGTAAACATACCATGTACTCCTCCCAATCTCCCCATGAAGCGACCCCCGTTGTTGCGGATCGCTCACAGGGCCTGCGCCATCGCTCTCTCAGTCAGCCAAGCGGCGTGCGGGGCCCGGCACGCGCGGCGGAGGCGCGAAGAAGCAGAGAAGCAGAGAAGCAGAAGATTGGTTTGGACTTGCTTGGGGGCACCATTTTTGGGTGAGAGGACAAGAGGTGACTGGACTTCTCGATGTTTGATGACTCTTGGTTGGTAAACCGGGTAAACCACCCATTTGGATTGTAAAGGATCTATAATGATCTATATAATTCTACATATTACTCGTACATATATATATATATATAGTCTCTATAAACCACTCGGACAAAGCTTGTTTGGATGAAGGTTCCAAACGGAGAACCCTTTCCCCAATAGAATCTTGCAAACGACGCTTGTGTCGCCTCGCACAGGACAGAAATCCTCCCGGCAAAGCTAATTGACCGTCCCGGCCACGCGAGTCATGGACTTCTGAATTCAACCGCGGCTGAAAAATACATAGATGTTATAAGACCCGGTGAGAAGGGCATGTTTTCCTCCTGAAGTATGTGGGTGGTTTTATGAGTCTACATTAAGGGCGATTCGGACATGCCCTTTTTGGAGAGGGTGGTCCTGGTGGGGACTCCAGCTGATCCTATTTGGGGGTGCCCAGTTTTGCACAGCACGAGCTGCCCAAGAATCCAGTTGATATAGTTAGTCGTTGAAAGGTGCCACTTTGCCTCCCCTTTGTATTGCGTGTTCAGGCCCAGACTGAGCTGGAGCTCCCTATGCCATTCCCGGCCATTCCAAATAGAATTCCAGAACGGATGTCAGAAGATATGCAAGAAGAATACCAGATAGACTGCCAGAAAGGATGTGAGAAGGTGCGCCAGCTGGAATGCTAGGCGATATGTCAGTTAGAGCCTGTTAAAATGCTAGAAGATATGCCAATTAGAATGATATGCCGGATAGAATGCCGGAAAGGATGTCAGACGATATGCCGCTTAAAATCTCAGATGTGATGCCATAGAATGCCAGAATGATATATGTCAGGTAGAATGCCGTAAAGTATGTCAGAAGATATGCCAGGTTGAATGCCAGAAAGGATGCCAAAAGATATGTCAGTTGGAATGTCAGAGTGTAGGCATGTGTAGGCCTATTTGTATGCCAGAAAGGATGTTAGAAGATATGCCAGGAATAATTCTGGGAAACATGCAAAATAGAATGCTGGAAGGATGTTAGAAGATATGCCAGGAATAATTCTGGAAAACATGCAAGATAGAATGCTGGAAGATATGACGGATATATAGCTTGCCGGAAGGGATGCCAGAAAATATTCCAGGTAGAATGCCGCAAAGGATGTCAGAAGATGTGCCAATTAGAATGTTGGTACTATGGCCATTTAGAACGCCAAGTCAAAGGTCAGAAGCCATGTCAGATTGATGGCAAAACAAGTGTCGGGATACATGGCAGAACACCTGTCAGAACACATGCCAACAAGGACGTCAGAACACATTTCAGAACTTTCCCTAGCAGAGCCATGGCGTCAATGCGCATGTTAGACAGCGTTTGCCAGGATAGTCTTCCAATGTGTCCTGCCTTCCTCCAAGTCGCCTGTCAGGGTCTGGATCACTCTGGTTGCTTACGCTTGTTTGCCAAGGACTTTGCTACAACTGCCAGGCGCAACCAGATGGGTGAGGGGGGCTATGGAAGAGCTCTCCAGACCAGATGGGTGAAATGGCCAGAGGCCGCCTGTAGGTACTCATATCTGATCTTACTGCTATTGGGAAATGATGGACATCCAAATAGACATTGTTGTCAAAAATTGAACTGTGACTAAAAGACTCCCCTGACATGCCCCCACGAAGAGGTGAGGTCACAGCAAATCTCTGCGGTTGGGCCAAAGCAGCAGCATGCCAAAATTTAACTTCATGTAAACGTGCTGTGGTACTTTGCAACAATGACATGACATTATTCAGATTTTTGAAAACGCTTTCTTTGAGGGGAGACGGTTGGTGTGTTTCGTTTAAAGGGTGGTATTGGAACCGCGTAAAGGCTGAGTCAGATGCTTCGTGGCCATTTGCAACTGTTGTTCAACCGGTTCCAGATTTCCAGTTGAGCCAGACCGAACCAACGGGGTGAGAAGTGAGGCGCGGTGCGACAATACAGCTATATAATCCAAACTGCCTTTCTCACAATGTTTAAATATCTCTATATAACCAAATACATTTATATAAGGGTTAGTGCTGCACTTGTGGTATCCACCCCCGCCCGTCATACAGATCTACGTTTGCAAGTGGAGCGATGATGGTTATAATAATTCTTATATATAGTTATTATATATTTATATGATGTTTGGTAGGAGAACATGGCCAGGCAGACTGCTTATACCTGCCATACTAGAGAAGGAGCTCTCGCCCGTGGTCGACACTCATAGCAGGCCAAGGCGGCTCGGCGAAGGAAGGAGCCACAGTGGCAGGTGTGAATGGATCGGTGGAGGGACGGCCAGGAGCCCCTAGTAGCGTCCATCGACCAAGGATAAGACGTCGTCACTCTTCAACGACACGTTGATTCCATGTGAGTATAGATATGGGGATCGGTGGGGATCCCGGTGCACCAGGAATCTGAAATGATTGATGTAGAAGCCACGTTTGCCGATCATGGCCGATTGTTTGGGGATTTGGTAGAATTGATGTTCCATTGATTTGCCTGTGTTCGACTTGCTGAGATGCCCGTGCTGAGATGCCCAAACACTCTGGCTTTGAGTGATGGCAGGCCATCGGATCGCAGCTCCGGACGGATCGCAGGAGCAACGCACGGACCTTCCGTCAGGGGCGAGTGGAGTATTGGGACCGGCCAGCACAAAGGAAGAACCACCAATCACCGTCCGCACACCAGAAAGAACTCTCCAGCCTCTAGCATATATAGAAAACAACCGTCAGCCGTCAGCATCCGAAAAGGAACGTTTCTTCCCAGACTTTGCTCCTGAACTTCGCTCAGCTTCAGGGGTATCCATGAACCCACCCAACTGTCGGGTCTTCGCATGTGGATGTTTGCCCACCCCAGACGCCGCCTTCAGGTCGCCCTCGGCGAGTCGTCGGACGACTACCCCACATGGGCACCCCCCTTGGGTCGTGCGCCGCGTGCCGCGTCGTCCACCGAACATGACGGCTTTCTGAGCGATGTATTTGAATAAGAGGATGAGGCAGCATGAGGCACCCAAATCCAGGTCTATCATGGAGTTTTTACACTTCGACCTCGACTTTTCATCGAATCGATGCATTTTCCGAAGCCATGGTCGCCATGGTCAAACCCCCGGTGGCTTCCATTTTCCCCGGTCATCCTTTTTAAACCCAACGGGGACCTCGGACGGTTTGGCCGCTTCAGGACGCCCTTGAGACGTGCGCTGTCCGTGAGCCTAAGTGGCACGTCGCGGCGTTCCAGCGGCACGTCTCGGCTAGACCGGGAATGTCCAGGAAAGCTGCAGAAACGCTGCGCCATGGAGCTCCATGAAGCACAGTTCTGCAGCCCGGCCGGATGGCGCCATTTCCTGGCGCTGGGGGATGGCGCTTGAGGTCGGCGCAAGTTAGACACTCGCCGAGCTGGTTTTCCCGCTGCGAAGTGACCTTTCAGCTCGATGAGTTTGAGTATCAACGAGCGAGCAGCGCGTCAAAGAGACAATAACTCGGCATGCTGTGTGATTTTGTGGATCTTGAAAGTATGTAGGCATTGTTTTTGTATTGTTTTTCTTTTTTGGGGGTTTTGGGAGGTGAAGGTGGGTGCCACAATCCCAGAAACCTCCAGAAACTATGAGTAGAGTGAGTTCAGGAAGCTGGGCTGATCGAGGACTGGTAGAGTGAAGATGTTCAAGATGTTGCACGGACTTCGCGACATGGAATCTCAGGCGATACAGTTGATACTTGCATTGTTGTTTGGATATGGAGGGTCTTCAGCCAGTCGCTGGCGGTCCCTGAGCGACTTCCATCCTCTCCTCCCAAAGGGAGGAGCTTTTCATGGCCGTTTAAGAAACACCGATGTCGTCCTGTTTTGGAGGAAAGCCTGACTACAACGAAGCCAATGGGCTGAAGCGGGCTGTTTTGTGTGATTGTTTCGAACCAAAAGAGATCCAAGCAAGAGATGGATTTGGGATGGTCAAACATGGTCAAATACGGTTTGGAGGTTTGGAGAATGGCCTCTTAAAGTCAACAAGACTGATTATAGATGGAATTCCAGCCCGAGCACGTGCATGAGAGATCGTGGAACCAGATATCTAGAGTCTATAGAGTCTCCAAAGTATCCTACTTTATAAAACGGGACAAAACAGGATGTAGAAGCCAATTATAGAATACAGAATGTGTCAGCCTTGCTCCGAAGGGCAGCGCGGTCTAGCGCCTTGTGGTCGCGGAGGGGTTCTCGGCAGCAGCAGCTGCTGCCTGAGTCCAGCAAGGACGGTTTCCAGCCGATGTGTGGGGGAAAGAAGGAGTTGGACTTTGCAGGGACATGTTGAAATATCAGAGTGGTTTTGGGCGGGGTTCGGGAGCTTCCCATGGGCGAGATGTAGGACAATGTAGGAGTTCACTGGTCCTTACATTGGTCGGAGAAAGTTCTTTTCTGCCTCAACCTGCAGCATCATGCCCAAGTTATGCAACCAATTCATCAGGGTGAGGTCGAGTACTCTGCATGTTGTTTTGGATTGTTTTGGATATTGTCACATTGTGGGTTCGCATATGTTTGTATCAGTTCCATTCTCGGTAGTCCTGGCAGTTGTCATTCATGCATTGATGCTTGACACAGATGAGTACTGCAACGGCACACACCATCAAGTGACCAAGTGGGAAGAACCTGTGATGTGAGGCTTCGAAGATCAGATCATGGAGTGACAAGAGTGGTTGATTTTCAGGCATAATCGGCCTTTGGACAACTCTTGACCAATCTACTTGGTGATCATACAAGGTATGAGCTCATCATATATATGGTTGTTTCTGCAGATATGGCCATAGATGTTGGCAATACATATTCGTTTGGTGCGGATGTCACACAGCATACGTCTCCAAGTTGCTTTGTCGAGCCGCTCTTATTTGGGACCAGATCTGAGTGTGGAGAATCTCCACAGATCAGCTGCACTGCATGTGTCAGAACAAAGCTTCCAACTGTCCCGGCCAACAAAAGAGTTCTATACATTACTACACCTGAGGTCTTGATCCAGGTCAACAGCAGAATGTCAAGTGCTGGCGAGCCGTGCACCCTGGTGTTGTTTTCATTTTACGACTTGACCCAGGCAGCACAGCCATGTGATGATGGTCTTTTTTTTCGCACACTGCCGGTCCAAACGGAGCTTTCCGCCCATTGTGCGGGTGGGTCGGTTCTGAGGTCGCTCAAGCTGAAACGAAGGTCGAATGAACTCAGTGAGATCGCAGCCAGGTTCTCCACAATCCAAAGCTACAAGGTCATGGCTCGTCCATGCAAAATCAAGAGTCAAGGCAACGGCCATCCGAAGCCAACAACTGAACTTAGGAGATCGTTACTTCCATGACTCTTTTCAGCCAGAAGTCGAAGTCCAAGTCCGGCTTCCAACCATCACCGCGACCGAGCTGACCCACGGAGGGTTCGACGCCGCCATGGCGATCAATTTGCGACCAGAAGTGGAGGTGGTCGTCGACGGTGGATGACGCGACCGGGGGGTTCCTGGCCCTGGAAGGGGACCCGAACCAATCCTTATGGTTTTGAGGGACCAAGGCCTGTGAATGGAGCGTCTGGGCTGGTCAGTTTTGACTCGTTTGAACTGGTCGGGTGAAGACATGTGAAACTAGAAATGGCTTGATGTGAAAGATACGAACAACGGTGTTGTTTAGGTGGCACCACAAGTGGCTGGCCAGGCGACTGGCAGGGCCTTGTCATATCCCTTGTCATTGCTTTGCTATCTTTACTCCGCAGGGGCGCAATCCTTTTCGACAAATGTCGCACATCCCACATCATTTGCCTCAACGAAAGAGTCCCCGGCACCAGAGGAGAAGCACCCAGCGACTGGGCACCTCAAGACAGATTTCTCTCAGAGAGTGGGGTTGAATCCGCTAGCTGGCCTGTTCGGACTGGCCATTGGGAAGTCCGAACTCACTTCAGCCTGACACTGATGAAGAACTCGATCAGCTGTGTCAGTGTGTGAAAAAAACACATGGACCTTTCTTGACTATATACATGTAAGTAACTCAGACACTGGTACAATGGTGTACTCCCCAAGAGAAAATCACCGACCTTTTCCTTACTGTTGCTGATATTACATAGATAGACATATTCAACCATTATATCATATAACTCGTTTTGCTCAGACCCAACAGGACCCATTCCCCCGAAAACCCCCTCCAAGTCCGGTCCGGTCTACCTCGCCGTCTACCCGCCTTGGTTCCCCACCCGGTCCGGTCCGGTCCGCCCCAGGAGGACGCTGCCGGGGCCTTTGCCTCGGAGCCCTTGGCGGAACTGCTCAAGGGCTTCGCCGAGGGGTGCGATGGCGCGTTGGTGGCGCGGCGTGAGGAGGGCGCGATTTAGTGAGGAGGGTTTGGGGCGGTTGGGGGGGTGAGGATGGCGCGTTGGTGTGGTGTGGTGTGTGCCGGGAAAAGAAAGTTGTTTGGGTGAGGAGGGGATGTATCAAATTGGTGAGAAGCTTTGGCTCTTTTGGGATACACGGGTACACATACAATTGATGTTTTTGCGTTTGTCCTTTTCAGGGTTTCCTCGTGCATTCCCTATGTTCACTTCCTGTTTCCGTTATACAGTGTCTTTTATGTTGATTCAGGTTAGCTTTCATGTTGCATTTGTTCCCCAAATCCCCTTGCAGCTTGGTGGTTCTTGAACCTGCCATAATGGTAGTGAGTCAACGAGTTCCAGATAGTTCCAGGTCATTGTCGCTGAGGCCAGGTCCAATGTATGGTGATTCATGATGGTTTTGTCTACCACAGGGCCAAAATGCATTTCCCCTCCAGCCACATATCAATGAAGAACATGTTTTGGACATGTTTGGATCCATCTATTTTCTAGGCCCTAGGCGAAAACGAACCTTTGCTGATCCATTTCACAGCACACGCTCCAAATAAGCGTCGACCCACGCCAACTCACCGGCAAAAAAAAACGCTTCGCACCATCCATCAGCTTCAACGGAGCTCGGCAGCTTCAACGACCATCGTTACCTTCTTCTTCTTCACAGCTTTGTGGCGGACGCTTCAATCTGCCTAGCTGAGCACTCTGCCTGTACCCGATGGCCATTCTGCCTGCCGTCCTCCCTATTCAGAACAGGACCATCGTTACCACCCCACATCTCCGCTGAGGTCGTTTGTGGCCCACAACGGGTCCGCTCCATGCTGGGCACCACGGGCTGTCCGGGCGTCGCTTGGGCTGCGGCGTCGCCGCCAACGGTGGAAACGTCTTCAGGGAAGGGAGCAGGGGGGGAATGCTTTCTGCATTGTTCTTCATATTTCTACATATATATATAGTGTTATATATATATATTTTTTGTTTAAACAATCGAATCACATATCTCAGAGAGCTCATACGTTTCTTTTAGGGGGTGGGCCCATGCGGTGGATTGAAAACGATTGAAGCTAGGCAACTAAGGAGACAATCATGCGATAAAGGTCTTGAAACATGCCTGATGTTGGTTGATACTGGTTACTATTGTGATGCTCATTTAGGAGGAGCCTGGCAAGATGTATATATATCTAATACTATAGTATAACAGAAAGGAGCGCTCTGAGCGGCGCGTTTTTGCATTGTTTCATTTTGTTTGTATTTTGTTTCTATATTTGTATTGCGTTTCTATTGATTTTTGTGCCACTGAAAGAATACTATTCTGCCTCAAGCCCCCCCTCCCCCAAAGGCAATTTCCAAAATTCCAATTTTCCAAAATTCCAATTTTCCAAAAAAACCAAAGAAACCAAAAAAAAACAAAAAAACAATTGTGCCAGGACTTTGCCTCACCCCCTCTTCCCCCCATGGTCTGTGCAGAATTGTTTTTTTTTGTGTTTTTTGGTTTCTTTGTTTTTTTTTGAAAATTGGAATTTTGGAAAATTGGAATTTTGGATTTTTTGATTTCCTGGGATATTATAAAATTTCCTGGATTGCGTTAGTCAAGTCTTTTGGGATTTTTGTTCCTTTCCTTTTTGTTTTTATTGTAGGGGTAGCATAGGTTGTTGTAGCAAATGTATTAGGTTGTTCTTGATTGATCTTATTACAGCACTTGCAAGGCTATGCCCAACCAAACGGGTTATTTCTGGTGACTTTTCCAATTCTTCTATAACATGTTTGTATTTCTCACTGTGATGAACATTTCTAGTTGATGAACATTTCTAGTAGGTACTAAGAACAGATCATCCATAATATCCCTTGTTAAAGATCCATCACAACCACCTGTGCCACTTATGTATAAAGTCTTACTTGTTTTGTAAAAAGCACTTGGTGATGAATAGGCATTCCATAAGCCCCTGCGGTCTTCTATCTTCTCCTTGTTTGCTATATTTTTTTCTTCAGCATATAGTGTTCTATGTTGTTTAAAGTGATCATTTAAGTTTCTTGTAAAGTCATTCATTCTATCATTCCAGTTTTGGTTCTTTTTTTCATAATCACTGTAGGTTTCTTGACCGATCTTACTGAATAACATCTGGGCGCTTCCAGGCAGATCCTTCCAGGCAATGTCAGACACATCAATCATTCTCAAGAAAATGCATGAAAAAAGGTTGAAAAATGCTCATTTTCATCGAAAAACGCGCCGCTCACAGCGCTCCCCTCTCTAGTATAATTATGTATGTATATATATATATATGTTTTTTGTGAATAGGGCTTAGCATGGCTCGACATACGATTCTAGATTCAGGCAAAAGGTGGGTGTTCCTGGAACTCCGTGGTTTCTGCTGGAAAACATGGGTTTTAGTTTGCGGGTGAAAAGGAAAGGAAAGGTCTACCACCCTCCAGAGGCCATCGCTATTAGGGTGGAGGCCATCGCTAGTAGGGTGGAGGCCATTGCTATTAGGTCTACCAGCCTCTATCAACTGTTTGTTTTTGTTTTTGGTTTGTCTTTGTTTCGGCCAACCCTCACAGTGAGTTTCGGCCGGGGTTCGCCTCAGATCAGGTCCTTGCACTGGCCATGGCGCAATGTGCTAATGCCCTTCCCGTCGATTCACTGCTGGCGGTCTCCGCCTTCTTTGTCCTCCCAGAGGCCAGGATTCAACATGGGATCGTAGATTGCTTCAAGGAGAGTGCTAGTCAGTTCATGTTACTTTGGCTTCAAATGAGGGGACAGCTCAATGACGGCTTTTCATGTCACTATATCAACTGCTCCGGTTCTCCCCCCCAATTCAAACAAATCCATGTGGGGCCGTGGGTACTTTGGCTTGGCAGAAGCTGCCATTGGTCTCGTAAACGTTATAGAAGGTTCCTGTAATAGTATAACCTACTATAAAAAATAGTAGGGTCAGAAGCTGTCATTGCTCTTGGTATTTTTATAGTAGGTTCCTGACCCTAGGGATCCAGTCGTACCTTCTCAGGTACGGTGATGTGTTCGACACTGTCATGTAGGTGCCATTGTCGGGTCCAGTCGTACCGAACCTGAGGTTAGGTTCGATACGACTGGATCCCTAAGAGTGATATAGTGCCCAGGATCCACCCTACGAATTGATATCAGTTCTCCTGGGTGGTGTCTTCTTTTGGTCGGCATACGGCCGACAACATGAATGGTGTTGCGGCCCACAATCCTTCGCAATAGTTGCTTTTGGCACATCAAATCACCATGATTTACATTGATTTACTGGGGTGGCTTGGTGCTGGGTGACTGTAACCCATGCTGAATTGTCCGACTACATGGTTTCAACCAGGAGGTTGTCATATCCTTTGCAGAAAGTCAGACCGAATCCTGCCCTGACTGGGCAAGATAGCTATCAACCGTAGGGCTCAGGGTTCCCTTGGGCACACCCCAACATAGCCCAACTCAGGTAGCCCATCCGACCGCCTCCGGTCAGGTGGAGCATCCAACGTGTCGCTTGCCTTGCTTGGACATCATGGATGGCGGTCGACGAGCGAGCTGGGAACAATGTCACATCGAGACCTTTACCGTGCCTCGGCACTGGCGGCCTTCACTGATTCACTGCTGCGTTCGGTAGGGAGTGTGCGGGGTTGCGCGAGCTGCAGGAGCTGCCGGAAGAGAGAGTGCATTGGTATGAGTGCATCGGAATACTCGGAGTACAGACAAAAGTTATAGAAGAAGATAAGAATGACACTTATGTTTGGGTGCTGTTTCTCAAGGTCTTTAGGGCCATCCCAACTTCAATTGCGATTTCAAGGTAATCAAGGTAGAGGCTGTACCACAGAGCAGCCCACATCTCCAGAGAGGGAAGATTCAACTCTGTTGCTATAAAGAATTGATACTGAGAAGCAGAGTATTGATCTTGGAAACTCTACGATTTTCCAGCTTCCAATTTCAATAGGACCCATTCAGACTCACATTTTACCCGCACACCCCCCGGGTTGAAAGACAGTTTGGTCACAAAAAGCTTGCTGGCTTTGCGTTTGGGTTTGATTCTCAAGCAGTAGGGGCTACTTGTCCTCATCTACTGTGTGGGTGTTTCCAATATATATATATACATAATTGTGGCTATCAGCCACAAAGGTAGCTTCCTCGCCCGTCAACCAAATCTATCTAACCTAAGGGGCCCTATCCCTAATCAAACCAAAGGTGGTCCGCCACCCTGCCGTCGCACCGCTTTTCTCGGTGCTTGTCCTGTCCCTGTCGGCCTTGAGCCAACGCGTATTGCGTTGGTGTCGTCGTCGATCGAACAACCATTCGAAGGTTTGGTGCTCAACTGGATTGATTCACATTGACTCTATTTTCTTTTTCGAATTGCACGGTTCAGCAAAAGATTCGATCCATCGTGAGCTAAACTTTCGATTTGGGTTCTCCTTGAGGGCACTGTCATCATCGTAGATTCTGAATTTTCCAAGAGCGAGCACCCGTCGTAAAAAGGATGAGTCCATTGGCTTTGTCAGACAGTCTGCAAGCATAATGGCTGTCGATATCCATCTACACTCGGTGTTGTCTTGGGTCTGCTGTTTTATGAGCATCACCTCTATGGTCGTTCTCCACTCCTGACAGTTGGGAGTCGCCATTTTGTTCACCAAGTCATACAAACTCTTGCAGTCTGTGATGAGTAGAGCCTTAGTCTCATTCTTTAGTGACTTTTCGGGTGTCTGCCACTTGAAGCTTCCGTCCTTGATTACTGCCCACATGCATCTAAGCCAAGTCAACTTATCTAATGAAGAAGACATTGCATATGCTTCAGCACTTAGGGTCGATCGAACTACTCTACTTATCTGCTTGGAGTGCCATGCTAATGGGGATATGCTTGATATTTTGTTTTCTCCAAGTTCTTTTGTACATGCTGCTATGAAAACTCCCTGCTGTGCTTTCAATTGCTGCTCCGATGCAAAACTTGCGTCTCCAAAGCTGGCAAAAGTTATATCTTTCATTGGAATTGGTTGCACCAATACGGATGTTGTGGCTGTGTCCTTTGCTTCCCTAAGGATTTTGTTTGCTTCTAGTAGATCTTTGATCTTTGCATCACAAACCCGCTTTTGCAGAAAAGATACCTTTGCCATTATATCTGGACGCGAATGCACTGCTGCATACTGAAGGCTTCCACATAGAGCACGAAGCTGGTGTTGCTCATGGTTCGATACAGGTGATTCTGTTTCTTTTCTTCTGATTTTTGCAACATCTATTGCTTCTATTTGATGTACATAATCTTCTTGTCCTATTTTGATTGAGTATAGTCACGGACGACCAGTAGGCAGAAAATCGAGCGTAGGAATCAGTTAGCAGATGTGCTCAAGGTTGGGGTAGGATGACCCAGGATTATGATATGTATATGCTTACTGCAGTGGTCTTCCCATTGATGCGTATGTTAAAAGTTTCTGCTTACTGCAGTGCTTGCCCAGATGACACGAGTACATCAAACCTTTATCCAACAAAAAAAATACATATATATATAGAATCAAACATGTTTGCGTTGGGGAATAGAATCATTTGACAATCTTTCGCAATCAGCCCTCCTCACTGACATCATCTCAACCGATGGAACGGATCCATTTTCCAACGGTTGAGAAGCTGAAAGGCACTTTTTAAAGCACAGTATATATATATATCCACACTGCAGTTAGCAGATTCACTTCTGCTTACTGATGTATGGTCAAGTAAATGCAGTAATCAAGTGCAAAAACACACCACGCACACGCCTTTTCTCTTCCCAATCCCATAAATGCCATAAAAAAGCATCCGTCAAAGCCATCTAGGCAACTGCCATCTAGGCCACTACTCATGCAATTTGCTGACTCCAAAAACAGAGTTATACAGCCACTTAAGAGTCTACGCGTATTTTCTAGACTATATATATATTTATAGAGGACACAGATAAAACTGACAGCACAAGTACTGGGATTCCCAAAGGACATCACTTGGCCAGCATACGCATGCAAACTGTGAATTCGTGAGGTTCTGTACCAACATTGAAAGCTCCTTCTCGGACCTATATATATATATAGAAGGTTGCTAAACACTTTCAAATCGCTTCATGCTGCGGCTGCCAGCTCATTGCTTCAAATCCCGGCCAAGGCCCACAACCAAAGCGCCCTTGAGTGTGCAAACCTTCTGCTTGGTAGCTGCGCAAGCTGGATTTTCTGCTTGGTGGCGCTCCCAGCCCCATAGAAGAACTTCGAGCAAGGCCCGACAGCAAGAGACATGCCCCTTTTTGGGAAGATGTCCCCAGGAACGGGCACGGGACATCTTCTGACCAGCTTCCGCTGTGGGATACCTGACCTGCCACATTTGAATAGTGCCATGTAAGGCCAATCCGCAGCCTGTGACATTTGGCAGATCTGCCATGCCCAACTGATTGAGGAACTGGAAGGCTGGCGACTCCAAAAACCCAGAGCCTTTGGGAGTAGTAGCCACAGATGGTGTGTCTGCTGATGAGCTTGCGTTCGTACTTCCTTCACACACGAAGCTGGTGTCACAAAGCTCAAAACTAACCCCATCATCTTCGCTGGCGATGTCATCATTATCTGACAATGCTCCATGATCATTGTGACCAGCCTTGCCTGTCTGCTCAATTTCCTCAGCTACCTCCAAGTCAGCAGGCATATTTGCCTCAAGCACTGCTTCAGCAGGTTCTTCATTGATCTCTCCGGCAGCAGCCACCATTGCAAGCTCTTTCTCTGCCTCATCCCCATCTTCAGCCTGCGCAGGAACTCAACACAGAGATGCAGTAAGCAGAGCCCAGATCTGCTTACTGGGGTCTCTCTCTATATATATACTGTGTTTCAAATGTTTCAATACAGAAAAGTCGTGACTGACCATTACGTCTAGAAAGCAACAACTCACTTGCCTCTTCGTCTTCCTGTGGATCCTCCTCTGCCCGTTTCCTTTTACGGGGTGGACCAGACATGCTCTCAAGGACATGGGAAGTGGATAGGGAGAGAGCACTCAGGTGAACTCGCAGCTCCTGAACTTCTCTTGATGCGCCAGTCACACTCACAATCCGGAGTTCCCTCACTTTCTCCTCTGAAGTCTGGGACAGCTGTCGCAGGGTCAAGTTGGTAATCGAAAGCTGGTAGGCCTCAATGAACTTGGAACAGTTGACCTTGACAGCCCCTTGCGCAGCCTTTCCTTTCAGAACAGACTTGTTGTAGACCTCGGGAGACGCCTCCTTGCCGGTTTTCTTACAAATCAATATGATCTCATCAGAGCCCTTGCCACTCTTTGTGTTCTCAAGCTTGGTGAAAGCGTTCTTGGTTTTCACATCATTTGCCCCAAACTGCTCCAACCTGTGGCGGTACAATGCTTCACAGTCTTGAAGCCTTCCATGGAAAGCAGCCAAATGCTTGTTCAGGATGGCCTGCCAATGCTGAGGTAAACACCGCCAAAGGTCTTCCTCGACTTCCCAGTCTTCTGCAAGCTGGTCCACCACATCAGTCTTGATCTGCCACAAACAAGTTGTTCTGGAGATGTCTGGCTGCTTCCAAACCTCTTCCATTGGAGCTTGCCACTCATCGCCTTGGACCTCCAACTCGCAGCTAGCCATCTCCTTGGATAGATCATCCTTTGTGATGTTGATATCAGCATTCGCTTCAATCATCTCCTCGTAGGTGCACATGCCACGAGACAGCCAGGCCCACCTGCCAGAATGAACTGCAAAGCAAATCCCAACGCTCTAGTTATAATTATATATATAGCAGATGTCCAATCTGCTTCATTCATGCCATCCCCCCTCGACACCCAAACATGGACACCCACCCTTGTATTTGCACCCTGCCTCAAAACATGCCTGTTCTTGGCGATTCGCTTCCACCCATAAATGGATGCCATCACCGAGTCGAGGTGGGAAACAGTATGGTGTGGGTTTCCATTGCTGAGCAGCAAGGGGCTTGATGTTGCCTGTGTAAGCAAGGATGATCGGTATCCCAATGAACTCTCTGTGTAGAAGCAAATGAACCTTCTATAGACACTATGAATCGCGTCACATGGCTGGCCACGTGCCGACCAGCCGCCAGGCTGCCGACATGGTAAAACGACCTTGTTCGACAATGAGAAGGCTTCACCTTGGAGCAAAAAGATTGAATTTGCCAAGAGAGGAACACAAGCCTGCAGCAAGCAGATATCTGATCTGCTTACTACTGTCGTGCGAATATATATATATATAACACCATACAAACAACTGAGTTCAGATATATATATATATATATGTATATTCGGTGAGTATGCATATGATTATATACATAGAGAAGGTCACAAGCCTGCACTAAGCAGATATATGATTTGCTTACTACTGTTGCACAAGAAAAAACACACAGGTACAAGTCACGCTGAATGTCGGTCCCTGCGCTGCTGCTGTGGTGTCCGGTGAAGCTGTCGCAAAGGATCAACCCCCAGGTGTCTTCAAAGGACTTGTTGAACCTCTCTGCAAGCTGCCTCCGTCTATAAGCAAAGGTAGGAGCTAAGACCTCCTCATAGTAGGAAACGACCGTATCCCCATTCATAAAGTGACTGGAACGGCCAGAAAAGAGGAAGAAAACCTCGGGCTGGAACTTCTGTCTCAAAGTGGCCAAGTCATCGTCACTAAGGAACCCATTGGGAAGGACCACGGTCAAGGGCCCACACTCTCCATTTCCCCACAAACTGGTCACCAGTGTGACAGAATGCCGAGAGTTGTTGACGTTGTTGGCTCGTGGGTCCTTGCCTGACAGGGATGAGTTGATATATATATATATAAAAGTATATATATATATAGAAAAGTCCTATATATATATGTATAGACACATTTG